AAGAGTAACACAAATATTGTCACCAGAAGGACTTCTGGAGACAGATAAACACAAAAGAAGACAAACAACTTGACAAACTGATATATAATAGGAATTCAACAAAGAATCCCCCACACTCCCCTAAACTATCAATGTTTTAAATTAGAATTCTGGTGCAATTTATGCAGCCATTAGTGTCTTTGAAGCAGATACATATTTACATGGAGAGGAACTTGGTATTACATATCACTCGGAATAGAAGGTGAAATTAGAAAAAAAAAAAGTAATGAATATTTATAACAGGTATTGAAAAAATTCATATCTATCCTACTTACTAAGCAAAATTCAATACCTTACCAAAGAAAACTCTTAAGAAGCAACTTAGACTTTGAAAGAGCTTATGAATTTCAAGTAACAACCTTGCCTGGAACTTCTTATAAATCATTCTACAAACAGCTGTAGCACATTTTTTAACATTAAACAGGATATTAAATTTGATAGGAAACTAGTGTGACTTCACTTAGACTTCCTTTGTTCCAAGGATTTTGTTTTAATGAATCACTAACCACATTCAAAAAAGCGGCAGCTGAACACAAGGTTCTAGACAGACTTTCTATCCTGGATTCACGTTGTAAGTGAGAGAAGATTATTACCGTCACCCTCAGCTACAACAGCCCAAAGAATAAGTCCTGGTTTATTTTTACTAAAATAAGTGGACACACATCCTTGAAAAAACAGGCAAGAGTTTAAACACATACTGAACCTAAGTGAGCATAAAAATAATTTTTTGTTGGGATGCTTCTGTATGCCCCTAAACACTGCAATTCAAGTGATCTCTAAAGCCTTTTTAGAACCTTTCTAAGAGCATGGGATTGCTGCTGATGAATAACTGAAGTCCTAATCAGGCACACAAGCATGCTTACACAAGATACCCAGGAATGCACATACCTACACTGAGAACTAAAAAGTGCCCTGAGCTCTTAGAGCTTAGTACGTTACTCACTTAAAAGGCCAGACCAAGGTTTAATATTCATGTTTGCAGAAGCATTGCTTAGTTTTTATAATAGGTCCTATTATCAATGGTTATCCTATTGCATCTGATACAAATGGTGCTTCTAAAAAAACGATCCTTCTGTTTGCACGTGTCTGAAAAGAGAGTGGCTACACACATATAAAAAAAAAAATTGCAGCAGACTAAACAGCAGCAGAAAAAACAACATTCTCCCTACGCGCTCAATTTAGCACTTAAGCAACAACCTAAGCACTGGGAGTGAGGGTTATGCTTGCTTTCAGAGGAGAAAATCTAGCCTCATCTCTCACCAGTGCATGTAACATCACAACACAGAGTAAGGCACACTTCATAAACTTAGAAGTGGCCATAAATCTGACAGGTCTGAGATTATACCGTGGAGATACACTGACAGGAGGAAACCCTGGAAACACACTGCTTTTCCTCACACTCCCACTAACTAACAATATTTAAACTCTGTTAGCCATCAACAAACAGCATTGTATGATTAGGTCAGATTTAAAAGAATTGTAAAACAATAATAATAACAAGGTGTATCTCTGGTGAAGTAGCATCCAAGATAAATACAGCTCAAGTAAGCACATATATTTTCATTGCCAAAAAAGCAAATCATAGAATCACAGCACAGAGGGTTCTGTAGTTTACTGCTGTCTCTGTAAAGAGGTCCAAATGAAATTTTCAGGGGTATACTTTAGAACAGGCAAGTACATTTTCATTTGCTAGTCCCTTTCTAATACAAAACTAAGAATCCTTGCATAAACATACTTTTAAACTTCTTAAATCTAAATGGAAAAACTGACCAATATTGCTTTTGTATAGTCGCATAATCCTAAAGGTTAGACTATGTAACAAAATGATGGCGCAGCTAGGACAAATTCTTGCAACTGTGTGGCTTCATTCCAGTGTTAATATAATAACCTAGTTCTGCTATTGTTCTCTTATTGCCATTAATGACTTCTATGTACATACTACTGTCACACCATTTCAATAACCTAAGAAGTCTATTTTATTTATTTTAAATAATACTCTCACAGGTAGACACTACAGATTCACCCCACGTTGCCCATTCAAAATTGCCTAAAGAACAACAGCCAGAGACAAAACACAACGTAAGAATTACTAAAACATTAATAGACAGTACAGGGAGATTACGTTTCAAGTCACCAGTATGGCACAACAGCTCACCCCCTCCTTGCTGCAGCTGCCGCGAGCATTCCTGCGGCGGGTCCCTGACAAACTGCGTGAAATCTGGGGGTAGGAGAGCTGACTCCCAGGGGCCCACCTTAAGCAGAAAGACAACTGAAGTACCAGATTACGTTCCGCAACAAGCCACTCAGGAGGAGAGCAGAGGCCAGGGCCGCCCTCCTTGCCCCGCCGGGGAGAGGCGGGGTGTGGCTGCGAGGGGGTCGCCTCGTCGGGGCAACCCCTTGTGCTGCAGGAAATCCGAAAGAGGTGATTTACGGGCAAGGTTCATTCCCATCCCACTGAGCTGACAGTTCAGCTGAAAAGTATTAATCTGGGCCCTGAAAGCTTGTTAAATAACGAACTTTACCCTTAGGCTGAAAAAATAAAAAAAATAAATAAAAACCAACGGGGTGGGCAGGGTTGGGGGGGGGAAGGCAGTGTTGCACAAACTTATCGGTGCCCACTTGCTGCAGAACATGCCCTTGCAAGAGCTGTGTATGAAGAACTACTACTATTTATAATACATGAAAATTACCTGCTTAAAAACATGATACCCTTATTTTCTGCCCAGCTTTTTCTATGTTGGAGGACCCTCAACTTCATCCACACTTTTTAAAGTGTTTTTTAAAGCTAAAGTTCCTAATGTAGGAGTAGGGAGAAATAAGGGTAATATGTAAAGAGCTGACCCAAAGGACTGTATAACCTGCACTTAGGCATCAGCTTAACTTGGAGCAACATGGCATATGGATGGGAAGTCAAAACAGAGGAAGCATAACACCTATGAATTTCATTGAAGTTAACAAAGTTCAAGCAGATGACTTTATACTGACAATACAATCATATTTTCCTTGAAACAATTATTTGCAGTTCACTTATTTAATCCTTTCATAATTGCTTCAGATATTCATCTCAATATTCACTCATCACAGTAACAAACACATACAGTACTCAGTCAAATGGTTCCAGCAAAAGCAACAAAACCACAGTTAAAGACTTCTAACATGACTAAATCTGTTTGGATCCAGTCTTTCTCTCTGCTTACTACTCACCAATAGTCAGGCACAAAAACGTTTTTCTATTAACGTAATCACTTAACACATGCTATTCCACTCACTTCCCAGTCTCTTGACCTTTCCTTCCTTTGGTTTGTTGACAGTTCCTCTTTTTCCAGGGAGCACTTGCACTTCCACACAATGCAGTACAGTGGCAGCTCTCAAAGGCTTTGAGGCTTCCTCAAGAAATAGAGTGACTGTCCACACCATGTGCATGGGAACTGAGGTGAATACCTCCACTATCAGCTGTTCTACCTCAGCAGTTTAAGTGTCCAAATATTCACTGTGCTCCAGTCTGGATTCTTTCTACCTTTTCAGCATAAACTATTCTGAGGGTTTACAACTCAAATGTCAGTTCCACACAGTAAATATCTGACTTACAGTCATGGGTTGTAAAGGGTTGAGGTAACTTTACCTTCCACTAAGTTCTGAGGTTTGGGGTTTTGTTAAAACTTGTATAAATAGTGATAAAAAGTGATAAGAGTGGCCAGCTGAATTGATTTTGTGTTCCTACTTTTGAATAACTTAAGTTTGAAAAACACTCAACAAACATTCAAGCAGTATGATCATTGATAGTGTATTAGCACTCAGAGCATTGCAATGTAAGCATTTGGCTACAACAGTTTGAATACCTGAAGTAAAGTACAGCTAATGTACACTATCAAAACCTGACTTCCCATGTAGTGACAGTAAAATCTCCCAAATTTTTAATCAGTAAAACAAACAGCATTGAAGGGGGGGGGGGGAGGAAGAAGGGGAAAATCAGAATATCAGCTTAACTTTTAATCCACACACTTCCCTCCCTACCCCATGCTGAAATGAATAATGAATGAGCTGGGTCATGATTGCTTTCAATAAGTATGTCAGAAACAATGAGATGAGGGTAAGAGCTGTAATAACCTCAGACATCAGTGGTCTTCCTAACAATGCCACATGCTTATACAGCCACATACTATGCATCTTTTTTATGCATCAGCATACCGGGAACTGCAAAACCACAAGTACCAAAGTACCCAAGGTACTTGAATTTTGTTACGAAACTTACTATGCAAACAAAAATTAACAGAGAATTTGTGTCTGGAATGCGAGAATTTAAGCCCAACCTTCATCGTGCGTCTGGGCAGAACTGAGATTTTCGAGTGTCACCTTACACCTCCCGTCAACTCTGTCACGCAGCAGCAGCTCACCCAAAGCGCCAGTAACTCCAAGAGACTTTCCAGGTTTTGTCATCGCCCCCCTCCCCACGCCTCCCTCGCCGCTTCGTTCTTGTGCCCAGCTGCTCCCTGAGCGTTTCTCAGCCCTCCCTCCCGCGTTCCCTAGCCTGGGACCTCGCACCCAGACGCCCGCGGGGCGCGCCCCCGCTGCCAGGGCCGGCAGCAGCCGCAGCCCGCGGGCCGCTGTCCCGTCCCAGCTCTGCTGACAGCGGCGGGGCCGGGATCGCTCCCGCAGGGCAGACCCCGCATCGCGGCAGCAAGCGCAGCCCCTGGGCTGCCTCTGCCCATCAGGTGTTTCGCGTCTCTTTGTAAATGAAGCTCTTCCCCACGCAGCCTTGCACTCCAGCAACCCTGAAAATCCAGACACTTTTTAAAAAAATTCCTTCCCCCACTTTTAAGGACACCCCTCCATACACACACTTCAAAAGGCTTCTCACAGATCTTTTCCTTGGAGCGATTTCCAAGTCGTCCCTTCAAGGGGACTCGCAGACACATGCCCAGAGGAGCGACCTGGCATCTACAGCGGGGACACGGTCTTACCTTTGCCTCCCCCGCGTCGGGCTCCTCCTCGTAGTACCCCTGGCCGGACTCGTAGGCGGCGGCGGCGGCCGGCTGCCGGGGTCCCAGGAGCACGGCGCCGGCAGCGAGGCAGCAGCCCAGGGAGAGCACCTCCAGCAAGTGCATGGTGCAGGGGCGGAACGGGGCCGCGGGGCAGCCGGAGGAATGCAGGCGAAATTATGAGGCTCCTTCTCTTCCTCTTCCCCCCCCCTTCTCTCGCTGTCCTTTCTCCCCCCTCCCTCCCCTCGCAATATCCAAGGCAGTAAAATCCGTGGGATGGAGAAGATGCAGCAGCAGAAGCTCCTAGACGCCTGCAAGGGAGTTCCCAACTTTCCCAGCCGCTTCGCAAATTCTCACCAAAGTTATCCAGAGTTTGCCAGGTAAAAAACCCACCAGGAAACCGGACATCCGAGGCTGCGCTCACTCGGGAGCAGGGGAGGTGGAAAGCGCAGAGAGGAGGAGGAGGAGGAGGGAGGGGAAGGAGGGGGAGAGCCAGCGAGCAGCAGAGCGAGACCGAGCGGCCGGTCGCACCAGGCGAGTTTCCTCGGCTGGGGCCGGGGGGCCGGGGGCCGAGGGGCTCGGCCGCTCCCGCCGCTGTGCCGGACGCCTGTCAGCGGCGGCGCGCCCGGGGGGTGCGCGGGGCCTGGGGCTGCGCGGCGGCGGCGGGGGCCGCGCATGGCGAAAGCGCCCTCTGCCTGCGCCTCTGTGCGCCGAGAGGGGCCGGCCGCCTTCCTCCTCCTCCTCCTCCACCTCTTCCTCCTGCTGCTGCTGCCGCGGCGGCGCCGCCTGCTGCTGGCGCTCCCGGGAGCGGAGCGCAGCGCACCGCACCGCGGGCAAGGGGTCGTTCGGGGCGCGCTGCGGCGCGGGGAGGGGAGGAGAGCAGAGCGGGCCCGGCCCCGCAGAGCTGGGCTCGTCCCGGCTCCGACGAGATGAAGCCCCTTGTAGGTACAAGCCCCGATGGGAGAGCAACGCGCCCGACTCGTTTCATTTGGCTCCGAAACCAAGGGATGAAGTTGGGCACAACGCGCACGTAGGAATCGTGCGAGGCAATTTCTGTGAATCCTAATCAGCTACTTGCTGAGCAGTGTTGGCAGCTTCACTTAAGAGAGTATACAGCTATTTTTGGCTGGAGAAAAAAAGATTTTTTTCATGTTAGAAACAGAGCAACCCAAAGAGTAGCATAATTATTTGTAACCTCCCTATCAATGACATCTTGGAGCCGCCTTTGAAGAGAAGTTAACACCCCATTCAGAGCCCTAAATAACACTAAACACAGATACTGTGTTCCAGTTACACTGTGATTAAAAGGTTTTTTTTAAAAAATGCACATTGCTATCAAAGAAACACACTGCTCAAATCTCAGCTATGCAAAAGGAAAAAGTTATATTCTCTATACTATTATTTTTTGCTTGATGTGATCAGCATTATTGAACCTTGTGTAAATATTTAGAAAGCTTTTCAATTGTTTTCTGCATCACTTGAGTACATCTTTTGGTAACAAGACTGTATGGGAACCAACTGTGGGGGCAGATCCCTTACTGCCTTGATTGGATGCTGGCAGTCTCCTCATGTTACACTGCTCTTATTCTTCTGGAATCCCATTATGTAACTATTCTGGGAGCAACATTCTGGGAGTTATGCATAAGGGTGTCTCTAGTAGGCCTTTAGGTACCTCCTGTTCTTTTTGATTTATTTCTTATAATTTCCAAGACAGTATTTCAGCTTGGTGCTACGCAGATAAATTATTTTGATGCTAGAAAGTAATCATTTGCAATCAGAATGAAATCTGAAGTTTAAATACATCTGCATTTGAAGAGTTTGTCTAATTACTGGAAAATTATTGAAGCACTAACATTTTTTTAAACACATTACAAGAGAGTAAAGTAATGAAACAAAGACAGGGTAGAAGTTAAGCACAACAGTTATGAAGATACAAAATAGTGTACATAAATTAAAAGGCCCATTGTTCTTCATGGGACCCTTGCAGGGCTTCAGATCAAAGCAGAGGATTAAAGCCTAGAGAGAGCATAGTCCACGATGCAAAATCCATCTAAGCAGAACTGCAGCATTACTGATTTGAGTTTAAACATGTTAAAATCTCTCAAAAGCATCACAGGCTGATGTAGAAATGAAGTTCTCTTGTAGAATGTTAATAAAACCTGCCTGACAAATCATGCACAGATAATATAATTTCAGTAACTGAGTGCCATGCAAGGAGCCTCCCCGTAACTAAGTCACAAAACGGGATGGAACATACCACTCCTGCTGTGCCATCATAATATCAGCTGTCTTCATTATTTACTTCCCCAGCACATTCATTCTTCCTTCCCCTTCAAATTCATAGAACATCCATCATGGGATCAAAGGCCTCTATGTAATAGAGCATTTCTTCCTACTGTCCTGTACAGCAACTTTAACATGTATAATTGAAAGCCAGTAATCATAGTAATAGTTGCTCAAGTTCCAGTCTAATCAAAAGATTTAAAAAAATAAAGTGGTTGAAATCTATGATACTTTATAGGCTCAGTGTACAAACAAATAAATATGCCATTGGCTCTGGACCACTAAGGTTTTAATTAATCTAGACTGTATTTCTCTCCATCCCTTAAAAGGTGCCTAATTTAAACATTTACCAATTTAAATATATTTTCTCCTTTTACTACCACCTAATGATTAATACTCCCCTTGTGTCTTCAGCTTAAACAGAAATCAGCCTACAGGACAATTAATTTACAATTCTAAGTGACACTGTACACTGACAGTGAACTGACCTTATAAACACAAATTACTCAAGAGATATCCCTAACAGTGTAGAGACACAGGTCTGAGTCTTACCCTGTTATGTTTCAATGGCAGCAATAGTTACTGTTGAAAAAGAAAGGATTTTTTTAATGTCAAAAGTAAGATTCCTTCAAATTATTTTTTATATTGCTTTAAGGATGCATTTAAAAAATCCAAGCCCCAATTTCTTGTTCAAGTTGGTGTAACATACATCTGACAAACACATTTCTGTCCTGTATCTAGACATACTTGGTATGTTCCTTTCAGAGACATTCTACTTCTAAAATGGATGTGTTTCAATACCTATTTCCTACTTCCAGTCATTGGCAAAATCAAAAATCATAGAGGAACCACTGCAGGAAATGTAAGCTGAGACTGGGAAATAGAAGAGAGTCAACAGCAGCAAGAAAAATCAGTAGCATGCTTTCATAGTGTGGTCTATTTGCTTATTGTAGAGTTAAATACTAACAAATGTTTTCTTTTCACAGAAGGAAACAAGTTAAAATCACAGATAACATGGTTTGCTTTTTTTCAACACACATAGTCTTGTGTGTTGAAACTCACACTCATGAATTTCAATGGAGTTTATGTTTAATATAAATCTCAAAGTTAGAAAACATTGTTCCCTGAGTGCAGCAACTCAAAAGACTATGGAAGTGCCATTCTGGAGTCATTCCAAAAGATGAAGGCATTCTAAGTAAGTAAGCTTCCTTAGTTCCTCTATAGATAGGACTCCCCTATATTTCCTGTCATGCTTAAAAGCATAGAAGAAAAAATGGACATTGATCAGGGTCTTAAATATCAATGTCCTATGTAGATACTTTAAATCAGTTGTAAATGTATAGGGGGAAAAGAAAGAAAGAGAAGGCAATTCAGATTCAGTGCCAAACTGAACAGAACAGCTGCTCACTAAAGCATTTTCTGCCCTTGAATTATTCAACCCAAAGTTTTATTACACATTTTTATCATATTACTTATCTACTCAGAGTAACCAGCTTTACAGAAGATTTAGCTACTGAAAAATGTCAGTACAGTAGATTTAGGTTGTAGTCCACTTCTCAAAATCTCTTATTTGTATAAAACATGATTTAGTGGAAATATTTAGCAGTGCTGCTAGTTTTACTGATTAGGTGTGTAATGGACTTCCTCACTCATCACAAGCACATTCAAAAATGTATCTTTTTTTTGATACGGGCCCTCATTTAGGAAAGGATCTAAACATGGTAGCTTGAAGATCGTCAATAGCAATTGAAATATTTTCCTTAACTTTGATCAGGCATCCTCACTGTAAAACGTAACCCATGGGAAACTGTTCTATATCAAGCCTCCAGCTAGGAATCCTAAAATATAATTTTATCCATTAATTTTCTCCAAAATTATTGCCAGGACAAATCAGTTCAATGAGAAAGACATCACTGGTGCAAAATCATTTGCTGCAATGCTTGACCTAGCAGCCTGCACTTTATTATCTAGAAGTTTCTCTTTTGTTTAGTATAAAAGTTTGTGCCTTTTGAAAATTAACTAACGAGACAAGAAGCCTTAGTCCTCAGCCCTTTGACACCAGTTGATATGCAAAGATTACAGGATTATTGGGATTTCTTTGTTCTCAATGATTCCCTTTTTAAACTATTAAATTCAAAACTATTGGCATCTAGCATTAGAAATTCTCTATGCTACAGGCAAAATGACTGGAATAGTGTAAAACCCTTGCAACCTTTGCTATAATAAGAGGTCAATATAATGCAAAAATGGACAGCACAAGGCTGCATCTCAAGAAAAGAGTTTGAATTACTCAAAGTAAATTACATGTCTCTAGGGCTGCCCTAAATTTAGAACGGAGAAAGCCCTAGCATACATTTTCAGCTGACTTACATTAGGATTTTTCTCTTTACCATAGTTTTTCTTCCTGTGATGTACAGTCTCACAGAAGAACAGGTATGCATAGGATATTGATTTACATCCTGTAAACTGATTATTATTTTTATAGCCTCTGACTATAAACAATAAAATGACTGATTGCAAATTGATGCTGGTTCTTAACTGAAAGTGGTGCACAATCTAAACTGTATAGCTGAAGTCATGTCACTAAATAAACAAACTTAGATTAAACAAAACATATTAGGACCTAACAGCATACAACCACTAAACATAAAAACCCTTATCATGATATATACCTTCCTGCAGTAGTCTTCCAAGTGACAATCTATGAGATAGCATATAAAATTTGGGAATATAACAGGACAAAAGTCCTAAACTAATTCAAGAGACATTTCTACATTGTTGCTAAAACAATGGCAGAAATAATTATTTCTATAAAGAGATACAGTTTCCACTAACTTTGTTCTTGTATACCTCTTCAAATTTTCTTTCAACATTTTGCCTATTCTGGAAATTAAGAATATGCTAAACCCTT